AGTCAAATAAATTAAAATCAGACTTAAAGTGTAAATTCTTAGGAAAGAAGGGTTATACCTGTCTGCCAGCGTACCGGAGAGCTAGCTTGCCGCTAATGAGGGCCTGGACATCCTCTGGCCTGAAACAGAGAAAATATACGTCAAAGGCCCATTCTCGGTTCTCGACCAATGAAAACTTGTTTTACTGCATTATGAGAACTTCTCTGGGTATACCACTTACGCATTGAGCATGATTTTGCAAAGCAGCATGTATTTGAGGGCTGTGATAGCTCGGGGGCTGTCAATGGAATCGTAGCCCTCAAAGGCCTCATAGAAGTAAGAGTAAGCCGTCTTCCAGTCTTTCTCCTCTGCTGCATGAATGATCCCTGGAAACACAAACAAACACACATTCAAATCTTAGCTACAATGTGCAGTGCTGAACAGAAACTAGTAACATCATGTTTTGATTCAATTATAAACTCTGGTTAATGACTTGTGTAAGTGGTGTACATTGTACCTGACTGCATGTCTAAAGCTGCTTGTAGTTTGGGTGGGCAGTAGATGGCGTTGGCGGTTGTCCTGGCAGAGGTAAGGGCGGCGCGGGCCTTGGGCAGGTTACTGAGCGCATGGTAGGTCTTACTCTCCAGCAGCTGAACCTCCACCAGCAGGGCCTTGTCGTCCATCTTCTTCAGCTCCTGCAGCAACTGGGAGCCTGGAGACCGAACACAATGCTATCAGTACATTTACTGAGCTTTTGGCTCAAATAAGTGGAAGACTAAACCCATCAGAAATTTGGCAGAATTATAATAAGAAATCCCATCTATCATATTTAACTTAGGATGACAACTAAATAGCGTGGTGCAGGAGTTTACAGTCTTCTTCCTCCCATTATTTATGTTTTATATCCAAAATTTCTTTTGTCTTTCAAATGTTTTGTCTTTTTCAAGCAAATCAAAAACACCAACTCAAAGAGAGTGATCACTCACCAAGTTGTAGTGCCTCCTGGTAGCACTTTGTGTCGAAATACAGTGAAATCAGACGAGCCTGAGGAGAGAGGAAAACATCCACCATCACAAATTTGTTGTTTGCACTGGGGAAAGTACACCCAGATTTACCCGGACAGAAGATTCTGAGCAGTATTTATTACTTAAAAGTTTGTACCAAGTAGAATTTTTGAAACCTGGAAGCCTATGTTACACAAACCAATAGGGGTACAAGTTTCATGGAATTTCTGTAATCAATCCATTATTGACATGTTAGCAATTGATAAGTGGTGAATCGTTGAAAAATGTCCCAACACAAAGTGCACATTTTCCATTATAACACTGTTTTTTTTTTAAACACACTCAACTACTGGTTAAACAGATTAAAAACAAAAAAAACAAAAAAAAAAACACACTAATACTTTTACTTAAACTGCATTCCTCTCTATGACTTTTGTAGCTTTTCAGTGAATAGTTAGTTGAGCATCATTTGTACACTGATAGACCAGCAGGCTGGATTAATACCCAAAGAAGGTAGGAACATCAGCTAGAAAGTTCATGGACTTTTGTTTTGATGTTGTTGGAACGTGTTGTTTGAAACAGAAATACCATGTTATTAGTGAAATAAACAAGATTCTTTCAGTTAATCAGCTGGTGTCGCCAAATTGTTTTTCCATACAGCTTGCTAAACCAGAAAGCTGCCAGACAAGTCGATCCAAACCTCCTTGCCTGTCTGGTTGGGTGGCTGGACAATGGACCACGATGAACCACATCACAGTTTGTTTGGAAAAGTTCTGAGACCCACAATACAATGCATCTTGGCGCAGTTATCATCTGGTACCACTTAAATACCCGGCCTGTTCTCACTCGTCCAAACAAACCTGGAGGGAAGAGCTCCACAGGTTGGAGAAAGTCTCACCTCTAGTGCCTGTCTGAGGAAGGTCCTCTTCTCAGCTTTGGCCCACTCTATGCACTCCAGGCAGAGCTCCACCTCCTGACCTGTGGCAGCCTCCATGTCCAGGAACAGGTCAAGCAGGGAGCGGACCAGCCGGGCTGCCTTGGCCTTGGAGATGGAGTTGAGGAAGGGGCGCACATACTTCAGCAGACCCCCAAGCTCTGAGAAGACGACAGGAGGAAGAGTAAGTAGAGGGGAAAACTTACAATCAGAAAAAGGCTGCCACAATGGCTTGTGAATGCAAATATTTTGCAAGAGGATGTAAGATTATTAAGAAGAGTTGCAAACATTTACAAGAGCACACTCCTAAGTCCAATATGTTTCATGACTGATATTAGAAAACATGTTTATCCATTTTTCACTTTTGTGTTTTAGTAAGGAGCATTACAGGCACCTGTCTACTGACTCTGGAAAAGTTAAGGGTTCTGATCAAGTGAAGTTTGTAACTAAGGAGTGATTTTGAAAACAACCCAGGCCTGTATAGTGCCAGTTAATTCGACAAAGGTCATATTTTATTCCTGGGTTACTGTTCTGATGAAAAACAGCACTTCCACTGGCCCAAACATCAGGCAGGAACAAACTTTTCATCCAAAGGAGACTCAATCTTTACCAGCTACAGTTGTGTTGTTTAAAAGGTAGTTTTGATTTTTTTTTAGAAGATCCTTGGATATCTTTCACTTTACAGGTACTTCAATTTAAAAAAGTCAGACTTTGTGCCAAGAGGAGCAATGCAGCTGCTGAGGTATGAAACTGAGTTTAACACAAATGCCAATATTCCAGTATTACCTTGATGACCACTCTGAGCAATAAGTTCCTGATATAACTCTACACAAACAGAGAACAATTGGTGACAGATAGCTGAACAAAGACATGTGGTGCATGTTTACTGACAAGAACACCTTTAAAAACTTTTTTCAGGTTAGCACTAGATTAACTCCTTGCTTTTGAGTGATATTATAGAAAGAGACCTTCATACAACTATGACTATCAATGGCTTTACAGCATTGTGCTACAAATAGAGAAATCCAAACACATGGTAATGTAAGTTTTACTGTTTTTCATAAACATGTGTAAAAAAAAACGACTTTTGTGTTTACTGCATTTACAGACTACTAAATGAGTCTAACTGTTAATGTTTTGACAACATTTGTCTTCAGTGCTTTGCTGCTCAGTATTCACAATTTGACAACACCAATCAAGTGAAAATTGTATAAGGCACAGTTCCCCAAATTTGAAGAGGCCTCCCCATATACATTTTTGAGATTGTCCAGTCAGCAAATTGGGGATAGTAGTAAAACACTTTTGATACCTCAAACTAGGTATGAAAAATGTAGTTTCAGTTGGATAAAAAACATTTATATTGATAGCTTGAAGTAAAGCTTTGTTTGACTTGAAATATGAACATCATGCTCTGGTTACCCGCAGCCTGTCCTGTCTTGGCCAGCAGCCCACCCAGCTCCAGGATGCTCTGCTCTTTAACACGCACCGCCTCCTCATCACTCTCCTGGATGTCCCGCTTTACTACAACGCACACACACACGCACGCACGCACGCACACACACACATACATCCACACACAATGATGATGTAATGTGATCCCTGCTGATATGATTCACCGCGATATACAAACAGTGAAAATGCTGATATTACTCTTTCCTTCTGTCTCCGTAGACTAGAATTAAGTCAAGATATATCATCGATAGGCTAGTTTGGGTGGCAAACAGCCAGGTGCCTAGCGAAGCTGTGAAATATCGGAACTGTCAAATTAAACAATACACGAAAATGACAGCTACATGTCTTAGCTTTAATAACATCAGACAGCGTCAAATGGTACATAGGCTAAAGCTAACCGCTGTGACAAAGAAGGTAATAATACAGAGTCAACTCAGTTTCACATTTATTTCCTTGTTGGCCTGACTCCTGACAAGACGAAGGCTAGCTGCTAACAACGCTGGCTGTATGCTAATGTTAACTAGCCAGCTGTAACCCAAGTTCAATGTAAAATGAATGAGCCTGGGAAGCTAACGTTAGCTTAACTGACAAGCTAGCCGGTATGTCGCTAGCCGGCTAGCCCACTGCTGCTGACTCACTGTGCAAGCAAGGAGAAAAAAGAAACGGCCAGCACTGGGCTGGCTAACTTAGCTCAGCTTAGCCGCTAACTGGCTAACAGCACAGGTAGCTAACTCAGCTGCTCTACGTTTGATGGAGACGTGTAGCATCAATGACTGAGTGAAAAAATATTTTCTTTCTCGTGCCATGCTGTGTCGATCATATTTACCTATTGAATGTAAGATATCGATAGAGGCATTCCGGTCTGTTCCAAGAAGAGACTGTGCTCTCTGAAACTCAGCCACTGCCGCGGCTGCCATCTTTCCTCTGCCTGCCTCCGCTCCACTCTGCCCGGTTGTTTTCCGGTCAGGTCGTTCACATGTTCGGAACAATGGCGCCCCTTGCAGGTGTTGCCGAGTACCGCCTGCTGACAAGTTAATTTTTAAATAATTTATTAAGCAAATTATTAGTTTATCAGTGATACAGCCTACACTGTCAGGTTAATTAATTCTGTTAGATGATTTGTAGCCTATAGTTTATGATCACTGAGCGATCAATACTTTATTAGACACTAGGAATAGCGTTTCCTATTTATGATTAGTCTGACATTTGCAGCTTTTCTTTATTTCTTAATCTCACAGTATTCCTACAGGGAAACTATTTTTTTCTTGACAATGTGTTTTTGGCACTGCATGTCAGTGATGGTATGATGATGGTATAATTTGGTTTTTACATACAGAGAAATGTGGATTTATTATTCAATTGAGCTGATATGACAACTGCAGAAAAATGCTCTCCCAACTATTTCTGTGAACATCACAAAATTCACATGCGGGGGCCCATTTAATATATATATATATATAAAAAATAAAGTTCAGTTTCAACTATTCATGTAATGGAAGGTTCATTTATTTATGTACCTACCTTATTTATGAGGGCTAAACGATGCATACACAAATTTATCATGGCTACCATATGAATGTTAGTTGGGGTGACAGCATGCAGTACAAGAAAAACAGCGTCTACCCATCAAATATAAAAAATAGCCTTTATTTCACAAAACATACACAAAAGCAAAGCAGAGTCAAGTCACTCGTGATGGCCGTGGCTGCTTTCACAGGACGATGGACAAGTAGTCACAAACCTGAAAGCACAGAAATCAGTAGACTTGTGATGGCAAAGAAAGATCTCTATTAAAAAAGGAGATATGCTAATACCTATATTAGGTCACCACAAGTGTTTATATATATATATATTTATACTATACACACACACACAAACACATAATTATTTTAATAACAAAATTAATCTGCAAGCTAAACAATAAAAGGGAATGCAGATTAATTTTCCTTTAGGGTTCAATCAAATAGATGAGAACAAAAGTGTAGACCAGTAAATACACAATACAGAACCTTCCTTCTTTATTGGAATCAACAGCAATAAATGGAAACACATACAACAGGGCTAAGCACTATGCACAAAAGACACAGAGCATGAGGATAACCACTTAAATTCTTAATTCCAAATTCAGATCTGTATGAACTGCCTGGATGACCTGGCAGTGACTGTGCCCTACCTTGCAGCTTATCATCAGGTTTGGAGAGCTGTCAGTGTTTGGAGTTACAGAGAAAACAGGGTTGTGGAGACAGTCCTCCATGTGCTCTGACACCCTGGACTCCAGAAGACGGCACAGGATGTCGGGAGTAATGTTCTGTTTCTAAAGACAAGGGGTACAACTTTATAGGGTTAGGGTTAGCTGAAGCCATTACAAACCCACTTAACTGAACACTGGGCTTTTCCCCAGTTTTCTCTTCCTTCATTTCATTTACAGGCTTTTAGGAGAGTCACTACACGACTAAGCCAGGAATGCCGTGTATTGTTTTTTTCTGCTTCTTCTTAGAATGAGTTGGGCTACTTGGAAAGTTGTGGTATACATGTTCAAGGAGTTTTTATGAAATCATATTTTAAAGTTTTTTTCTGTCAGATTTTCAAAACAGGGCTGAGTGGATAAAGGAGAGTGTCAGTGTTCCAGTGTTGTATAAGAATCATGTTGATAAGATGTCTTAGTCTTCTGTTTGGGGGATAATCATGCTCCAAGTTTTGGAACTACAGATGAAAAACAAAAGTATGCAGCTTGCAGTGAGTTATCGAATTACGCTTTGAGCTAATCCTCTACCTATTTATTTCCATTTTGGCAAATTTGCACCATTAGAATTATACCAAATTACCTATTAGAGGTTCCTCTTTGCAATGTACCAATGGATGTGGGTACTATCCATATAGCTAGCTATATAGACAATACACTACATAACTATCAATTCCTTACGTTGATACTGAAGAAAACTTAAAAACATAATGATTCTGTGGAAAGTTCTTGAGTTATAAATATGATGCCATAAGTATGATTTTTAGGTAGAAATGAAAGATCCTGTAATTCGATACAGAGTGACCTCATTTTTAATAGGGTAGTGTTTCTCAAACAAACCTTAGTGTTGATGTACAGTCCACAGGGGCAGGAGATGAAATAGCTGTTGATATTCAAGTTGTTCCTACAAGACACAAGAAGCACTTGAAAGTTGAGTCATAAAAATGTGTTTATCATCAATGCAATTTTGGAAAAAAGTCCAGCCCTGAATGTTTGCCTGTTCGTCAAATGGTACAACTTAAATTATTTTCAGTCTTTATCAGGCTCTATTTTCAGTTGCACTGACAGCCCCTGGTTTTAAAACTGAGGGAGCATAGAATTAATTTATACTTAACTCATGTAAATATAAATATAAGAAACTATCAACCTTTGTCAATATATTTGTTATAGCAGGCAATTCTTTGACTCACGTGTGACATATGGGGCAAATAATATGCACCTCGTCCATCCCTTCCACAACAGACGACATGTACTGCTGTTCAAACTGCAGGTTCTTCTCATACTCATCAATAATAGATATTTCTGAAGCAGAAAGAAAAACACCCTCAACTTTAGCAAGAGCTCAAATCAACAAGCTCACACACCTGTTTATACATCTCAAGCCTACTGAAATCACCACTGCATATATCCATATTTAACTTTGTGGTGTTGCAAATGTTTCCATTTATTTCACTGAACATTCATTTTGATATACACAGTCAGTAGTCTAGATAGAGAAACCAACAGGATGATTTAGTTTATGGAGATGTTACCTTGAGACATGAGCTCCTGTTGGATTTCTTCAAGGACTGCCAGTTCATCATACTCTTTCATGACACTGAACATCTGTTTAAAAGAAAAGGAAGATGGCCTCTAGTTGGTTATAAAACTAAAACGTTGGGGATTTGAAAAAACAGACAGTTCAGCTCAAGGAGACAGCTAGAGATGATGACATGCAGTTCATTATTGAATGCAGTTTATGACTTAATGATCTGATGGAAAGGAAGACTTATTTTGAATGTGTGTACCAAGCTTTTATTAAAGGGGCAGTGCAATGTTAAGGCAAAGCTCTCTAATGTAGGGACCTTACATCTGACAGAGCAAACAGAGACACAGGAAGACACCAGGGAGGGTGGAGAGAGAGAGAGAGACAGAGAGCAGATTTTGGGGGACTGAGAGAGCCCGACCGACCGACCGACCTCTGCCATGCCATCTGGCCCCCACAGGGAGGGCAGTCTCTGGTCCTCAGACCGCAGGGCGGTCCACTCCTCCTCCATCACCTCCTGGACGATGATGGAGGCCCCGGAGCCGCTGCATTGCTGGCTCTCTCCCATCTGACGGTATCTCTCCAGCAGCCTGGACCGGCTGTTTTTCAGCCTGTCCACACAGCGCTATAGAATACAGAAGAATAGAGAACAGCACGATGTTAAACCCAAACACGACGTAGCGTTGTCCCGACATGCTAGCCAGCTAACTGACAAATTTACGTTTAATGTCTCACCTTGCGGTACGTTTCTTTCCATGGCGGAGTCGTTCCTTTATAAAGTGAACGGTGTCTGTGCAAAGCGTCCATTTGTAGTATCACTAGCAAGTGTAAAATCACTCATACACAAAGACTTGTTCCAACAAACTGGCTAAAGTTGGGGAGGACTTCAAAACCAAAACATTTCAGCTTTTAACCCCGCGCCCCGGAAGTTAATGCGTATTGCTGTGGATTGCATGATGGGATGTGTAGTTCAGAGCGGCCAAACGGTTTAATTGAAAATCAGAGTCAGGACTTTTAATGATTTTGTGGTCTTAGTTTCAAAAGATGATATCAGGTGTATGAGGCCAAAATCAACATGCAAAGAAAAACTACACTCACACACAGAAGAATCGACAGCACAACTTTCATGTTGAAGTTGTGCCACTTTTTAGAGACCACAGTTTATTTCCCAACACAATGATCTCAGTGCTGTTTAAAAACCAAGAAACTGGAAACGTATCAACCAGTTTTCATGAAGAAATTATCAAGAAATTAGGATATTAAAGTGTTAAAAACCTATCTACAAACTAAAAGGTTTTTTTTTTATTAAAAAAAAAAGGAAACTTATCAACTAATAAGAAATTAAAGAGTTAAAACTTATAACTTATGTACAAACTAAAATATTTTGATTTTTCAAAAAGGAAACTTATCAACCAGCGAATAAGAAATTAAAGAGTCGAAACTTATATACAAAGAGCAAATGAAAGAGTTAACTACCACCTAAAATAATTTTCTTTTCTTGCTTTTGGAGAAGGAAACTTATCGACCAACTAAAAGGAAAGAGAGAGTTAAAACTTATGAAACAAATAGAAGTTTTTTTCTTTTTTTAAGAAGGAAACTTATCCACAAGCTAAAAAGTTAAAACTTATCTACAAACTCTTTGTGTGTGTGTGTGTGTGTGCGTGTGTGTGTGTGTGTGTGTGTGTGTGTGTGTGTGTGTGTGTGTGTGTGTGTGTGCGCACGTGCGCGCATGTGTGTTACTGTTTCAACCACTGGCGGGTCCAGCCATGGAGCTCTGCACCTCACACTGCTCACATCTCTGGGCTGTATGGAGAGTAACAGATCCAGCCCAGGAACATCTCCACCACTGCACTAAAAGCAGGTTGTGAGAGACCGAGCAGGGGTCCATTGTCCACAAGCTCCGGGAGGTCTCTGTGCTGGATCTCCTGCTGAACATTATAGAGAGACAAAGAGTGAAGGAGTTTCTGACCAATGATAAAACAGGAAGCAGGTGAAAACCAACAGTTGTGTAGACATTTGGAGCACTCACCTCCAGCTGGACACCTTCCAGTCCGGCCTGTGGGGCTGAGGTGGAGGGCTGGGGGCTTGGGATCCGGCCTAACGGCTCAGCAAACAGTCTTGCAAAGACTTCTCCTGCTGTTCTTTCCTGAACATTGTAGAGAGACAGAGAATGGAGGAGGAGGAAGGTCAGACTGGTTCAGCTACACCCTTTATACGCCTCTTCCACCAACATTAGTGGGTATAAGCCATTTTCTAAAAAATGTGAGTAAACCCACTAATAAAAGCCAACTGAACCCCTTTCCACTGCTAGTCGAGTTTTCTTTTCAGTTTGGACTGAGGGCACACACAACTGCAAGGAGTGATGTCATCACATGCAATTACACAGCACACACACAGACACAGTGGAGAAAGAGTGAGCTGGTAGCCACCGTGCAAACTATAGTAAAACAGATCTGTCTCTTCTCATCCCTGGGTTAGTGCTCCTGTAGAAGTGTCGGAGCCTCCGTGTGAGATGCTTCAATCGGTGATTTGTGTGTTATAAAACTTAGTTCGGGGTTGCAGCTCACTCTCAGAGGAAGGTGTAGCTGGGGTGTCTCTGGTTTAACAGCACCATGCTGGGCAGGTGACAGGTGTGTTTACAGTCTTTGTGCTCAGAAAAACAAGGGGCAAAAATTTGCATGTTCACCCAGATGTTGCGTTTACATTAATGCCAATCAGAGCCAGAGCCGATAAATACCTGCAGTTATTTGACCTGTGTGTGAATGTCGATTGAACCCTTTTACATTTTATAACATGTAGCTGCAAACACGACATAAAACTAAACATAATATTCCAAATTATATTTCAGATCAGTGTAAACTCAAAACAAATGTCACAGGACAGACACTTTTTCTGTCTGCAGCTGAACAAAGCAAAAGAAAAGTGTTTTACCTTGGTGGTGTCAGTGCTGCTCTGGCTCTTCCTGGACTCTCTCCAGTAGTTGTGGTCGTGGAGGTGACGAAGCATAGCATACATCTGTAATGTCTGTAACCATTATAATACAGTTTAGGATGGGACTCTACTGAATTCAACACAAAACATTGAATAAACTGGTTAATCCCTTCAACCCCTGATGTTTCCCTTAATAAGACAAACCTGTTTCTACGCCGTATATAAATGTCAGTTTCTTTTCTGCTTTTAAATTGATGTAATTTTTTTATGTATTTATTGCTGTAATATCACATTAAACTTGACAGCGCCGAAACAACAAGAAAAAAAGAGGGGTCACTTAAGGTAAAGTTAATAATGAATATGAAGCTATTTTATCTTTAAAAGGAGCAACTGAGGCTGAATACAAACCTGTGTAAAATGCAATATCTTATTTTTACCCAAATTAAACAAGATCAACACTGGATCAGTTTACTTTAAAGGCAGCACTTGGTTCAGAATTGCGCATGGTTACTTCTGTCTTAGTATTTCAGTTGTTTGAACACTGTTTCAAACACTTTCATATTTAATATTTTACATTATGCGACTGAACAAACTTCAGCTGCATCAAAGTCAGTCTCGCGATGTCTCGAACATTCGAAGCCGAGGAAGCGTCAGATAAAACGGTTAAAAAAAAAGTCATTTAAATGATCTTAAACTTATCATATTCTCACATTTTGCATGATAAAACTGTGACAGAGGTCAGCAGTCGTTAGCGTGGCTCCTTTTTTCGTCGAGTGTTTCTCGGGTTTTCCAGAAATAGTCGAGTTAAAGTTTTCAATGTTTCTCTCTCAGAGTCTCAGAGTCTCAGAGTCAAGTGATGGATTTGGAACGATTTTCTTGAATATATACAGTATGTTCTCCATAGCAACCAGCGTCATACGTCAACACGTCATTTGAGAATTTAAGTATGCTATTTAATTAATTTAAGCATTTCTTTAAGAAAGTAGGCTATTATTTTATTGAAATTTATGACAAAATGGAAAATAAAATATTGCCCAATTTTACCCTCGAACATTCCTTCAGTAAAACTAAAATATTATTTAAAAAACAAACTAAGATGATCAGGTACAGGATAATAGATGATATATGTATATAAATATGTGTGTGTGTGTTTGTGTGTTTCTTTACCCTTTAGCATTTCAAGGAAAATAATGACCATAATAAGTAATAACAACATAACAGAGAGCTTTTGAAAACTTAAAACTGAAAATGGTAGCTTAACCAACGGTCTCAACTTTTTTTTATAATAAACAATCTCAACTCATCTTAACAATTAAACGACTTTAACGCTCCTCTTCTCTTTCTTTTCCTCTTCCACTTCTTGCTCACTGATTTACATGATGGGCTGGTAAACCATGATGCACTATGTCAGACAATTAAAATATTGCAGTATAAATGGATTATGTGCATATACTGTATTACCATACTCATCCCTGATTTAACATCAGCCACCTAGACAGGCTGTCTGAAGCCTTCTATGATATAAATGAGGTTAAGCTTAGACATTTTTTCATACATTTTCTTTAAATTTTATGTGGAAATCCCAACATGCAAAACATCTGGGTGAAGCATAATACAGGTGTTGCTTTATTTCTTTAGCTCTACCTCTTAGCCCACACAACCAGGTGACTCACTGTGTACCACAGTGTATCAGAGCACAGCTGTTATTCTTCCCAGCACTTAGATGCAGCAGCCTCTTTCAGAGGCTTTACAAATCCCTGCCTCTCTTCCAACTCAGTGGCCTCCTTTGCCTGTGGGTAGAGCAGTATATTTGGGAAGAAAGCCATTCAGATAAATCCACTTTCTGAGTCACTCGCCTCCACACTTGTTTTCAGGGAGTGTTGGTTATGGCTGAAAAAGCTTAGTGCCATTAGTGGAGCTCTGGATGACACACTGTCTGTAAAATGGATTTCTTTCATCTTGATATGGATTACAGAGAAGGAGACCAGCTAAAGTTCTACATCAGCTTTGTGTGAGGAGGCTCTGGCCAGTTTTTGAGGGTGAAAGAAAAGAGGCAAATATTAGTCATGTAAAGACTTTCATGAAGGGTTAACATGGGACTCGTCTTGGTAGCACATAAAGGAGATATATGACGAAACAAAAACAAAAAACACCAGAAAAGAAAACACAAAGCAAGACATGAGCAACATGAGTGTGACTGCTGAAACAAAAAGCTGAGATTTAAAGCTTTTACTTTCAATCTTACAATAGAAAGTTACCCCAAATAAAAAGGAAAAATAAACTTCTCCAAGCTGACAAACATGAAGTTAGTTAACACATTAGCTTAGTCTGGTCATTAACAGGACAAAATGTTCACACAGGTTGTAAACAACAGCTAAGAAGCTGTTGTTTACAACCTCCATTTAGGACTCTTGGGGTCTGTATTGCAACAAAACTAATATTTTATCCATCAACCACAACTGCAAACAAGGTTAGGCATATTACTCTTTCATTATGAATTTTAATCCATAGAGGTTTTATGGCTATTTGTTAAACTTTTACCAGGGCCTACAATGTAAAGTCTCCGGGCCAAGTGGAAACATTATGGGAACTGAAAGATGGATTCAACATTTCTGAAACTTGACTGATTAGCAACTAAAAGTCAGGATGTATTGGACAAATTTTGCAGGTCTCCTGGTTGAACAAGTAAAACTCATAGATATCTTCATCATGATGAAGAATCTCAAGCACATATTGTTTTTTTTTGTATGAAAAAGGTTGGAAACCACTGGTTTAATCTTTGATAATGCATTGTATATGGTACCATGTGTTTTACAACATTTACAACATTTCCCTCTGAAATGTAGAGTATAAGTAGCAGTAGTACCACTTAATTTCTAGTAAATTATCAAAGGGGGTGATTCACCCTCAGCCTGACACTGAGAGGAGCATCCCCCTTTAAAAGATGGGAGATGTAAACTCCTGAGCTGTCACAACAACAGCACATGAGCTCATTTGTCTGCAGGCGCACCCACGGTGTTAGCTGGGCTGGAGCTGATTCACAAAATCCTCCGTCGTGTTGGTCTTCAACGGCACAGCAGCCTCCTCCTCCTCTGCCACGGAGACCTTGGACACATCTGCTTCAGCACCTCGGACAGCGACCTCGCCGATAGGCTGGAGCCCGTCGGCTGCCAATGGCTTCAGCGGCGCGGCTGTGACAGACGACCAGCAGCAGCAGGAGCAGCATCCCCGGCGGCAGCCAATGAGAAGCCACTGTTTCTCTCCCACATCCAACCCGAATAACTGCAGATGCCCGCATCAAAGCAACGGCTATCTCTCTCTCTCTCTCTCTCTCTCTGGCAGGTTTACATAGCTGAGGGTAAAAGCTGCAATCTATTTTTGGAAATCATAGTAGCCATTTTTTTCTTGATATTCACCGCCATTGTGTTGATCAAGGTTTTCAGACCGATACGTGCTGTTTTATTTGGGCTATGTCTAGGGGGGAGTTTGTCCGAGCTCGCCAGTGTGTTAACGGAACATTAGTGGCCGTGACCGTATAGATTTTCGGTTCTCAATGGAAGACATCTTCCCACTCGCTGCGAGCGAAGGACTGAAGCACATTTCGCATCTCCTTTGCTTCTGTATTCCCACCGACGAGCGGGGGACTTTTTACAAATGAAGATTTGAAAGAGGCAGACACATCATCAGCAGCAGCAGTAGTAGCAGCCACGGACACAAACCTGTCGGCCTGGCGTTTACATCTTATCAGGGACCGATCCGTTTTAACACCCTGGACCTCGGGCAGCTTGTGGATACCGAGCAGAACGGCTGGAAAGCGAGTTCACATTTTGACCACATTTGCTCAGCGGCAAGGGGGTCAGGGTGTGATACATGGATTTCAAAAGAAGAGGCGATTAATTTGAAGGTAGGAACACATGGAGGCTTGTTTTTGCTGCTTGTGACAAAAGCCATTTTTCAGCTCTGCATATGATAACACATAAAGCAGCGTGCTGAGAAGGCCCAGTGATGCTCTTAAGCCAACAATGTAGATACACCATCATTTCACGAGTCTTTTTCATAATTAGATGATGTTAAAACCAGATTAAACAGCATCATATTTCATGTGTTATATGTGAGAGCTCATGCTTCTGAAGCTGCCTTATGTTGGAGGGGGGGCTGCGTTCAAGGCTTCCATTTTGAAGCTAAGATGGATGCTTGTGCACACTTCTTTCTCATGCCTCTGTGGCCTTATCTTGGTTCTTATATAATACTGATGAACACTGAGGGGCGGCAGGCCGCAGTTACGCTGACGTGAGCGGTAGGCTTTATGTGGAGAGGTATCAGCAACAAGATTTAATCACAGACATTGGGGCTTGATGGAGATTAAAACCAAATGGAAATGAAATTGCTAAGGTGCTTTCTACTAAACTGCAGAGGAAAGCTCATTTTCATACTTAAAACTAAACATCAGACTCCTGTATGTGTCCACTGAGCTTTTGTTTTTGGCTACAGATGATGTGGTTTACATTACTACTACATTACTACTGTGAAAGAATGCCAGCATATTTATGTAGCTACAGGGTTTCTTGTAAAGTTTTCAGTCATGTTTTCTCTGGGAAACAATATCACAAAACAGTTAATTAACATATGATCATAGGTAACTATTGAATCATTTGTTTAGGCTAAAATTCAATCAATTAACTTTTAAAATCTTGAAAGTTTTTTCTGACTCATCAAGCAAGTTAAAAAAAAATCACTTCACTCAAGGTAAACTTACTGGCTTTTTGTGGAGATTTCACATTTCATGGTCTTACCCAGTTGAAGCTCTGGGAAAAACCTTGATTGGTTTTCTCCTGAATCACACCTCACAAAATAAAAATGTGGAGCGTCAGAGTCATTGGAAACAGTAAATCCACATACTGGCTTTTTGGGGGCTTTTTCCTCACAGTACAGAGTAGGGCTGTCACAAAATCAGACTTTCACTATATGATTATCAAAAGATTTCACGTTTACTATGTTATCACAATATCTATAGAAAACCCCTAGTATGGAATTTGCGCAGTTGTTATGGTAGCTGGGGGACAGCAATATCACCATGAAAACAACTATCTATAGGTGATTAGATCAAAACTGTGCAAACTCCATAAACTGAGGAATAACATGAGATGTGGTTGAAAGATTCAGTTAGTAAGTGGACCTTACTTAGTTTTGTCCTCACTCACTGTTCACAGAAATGTGAAACAGTGAAACAGTGAAAGAACATTTAAAACACTCCAGTGTTAGTGTTGGGACACGCTGCAGCTGAAAAGTCCCTCAAACAGCCTTCCATCATCAGTGTGTTGGCATGGAAACAAATTGTGGCTGTATCAGCAAAGAGGAAGGGCTCCAAGAAGCTGCAGTCAGATGGCAGGGACGGTGGGAAAACAGAGCTCTCTGGATGGTCACGCCACCGCACCATGAAAGTAGTTATCTAGGCAGCTATCTCCATGAAAACTGAGCTAACTTCATCTGCTGAGGAAGATTAAGAAATACGAATAGAAGCATTGATAATGCTTTAAGTGTTTTTTGATGATTGGTTTCATTTTGCATTGTTTACTAATGTAATGTAACCAGTTACTTCCTGTTCTTTCCTCACAGGTTTGACTTACTCCAAAAGTGAGACACTTCTCAAAGCTCTTTGTCTAGACCGATCAAAGAGCTCCCCCCCCCACCGCTCCCCGATCCACCTCTCCTGTGTCCCTCTGCTGACCTTCACCGGGCATCATGGGTACGGTGCTGTCGCTGTCTCCCAGCTACCGAAAGGCGGCGCTGTTTGAGGATGGCCCGGCTACAGTGGGCCACTACACAGCGGTCCAGAACAGCAAGAACGCCAAGGATGCTGCTGCTGCAGCCGCAAAATCCCTCAAACGGCCGTCCATCATAAGCGTGTTGCCATGGAAACGGATTGTGGCTGTATCAGCAAAGAGGAAGGGGTCCAAGAAGCTGCAGTCAGACGGCGGGGACGGTGGGAAAGGGAGCTCTCCGGACGGTCACGCCACTGCCACAGCCAATTCAGCCTCCAACAGCCTGAAGCTGAAGAAGTCTCAGTCCTGCGCTAACCTTTCATCTTACACGTCCAGCCAAGACCCCTCAGCCACCACTACCACTACCTCCTCCCACCTGCCCACCTCCAAGACCCTGGCTAACGTAGCTACTGTCGCTGCCAAAAAGAATTCCCTCACAGGCTCTGGGATCCAGCCGTCTACTGCAGCAGGCACGCCGAAACGTGTCATTGTCCAGGTAACCAAACTGTTTGTCTTTTTTCTCATCACAGAAAATTTGGTGCTAAATTCATCTATTGCTGTTTAAACTCATATCTCCAACCCTTCGCCCAAACCTTACCTTCCCTTCCTTGCCCTCTTTCCTCTTTCCTTCTCTCTCTCCGTTCCTTCCAGGCCTCCACCAGTGAACTGATGCGCAGCCTGGGTGAGTTCCTGTGCCGCCGGTGTTATCGACTGAAGCGTCTGTCCCCAACAGATCCGGTGCTGTGGTTGCGCAGTGTGGACCGCTCCCTCCTCCTACAGGGCTGGCAGGATCAGGGCTTCATCACTCCTGCCAATGTGGTCTTCCTGTATATGCTGTGCCGTGACGTGGTCTCAGCCGAGGTGGCCTCGGAACGCGAGCTGCAAGCCTCGTTGCTCACCTGCCTCTACCTGTCCTACTCCTACATGGGCAACGAGATCTCCTACCCGCTGAAGCCCTTCCTGGTCGAGGCGGAGAAGGAAGCCTTCTGGGACCGCTGCCTGGAGATCATCAACCGCATGAGTGGCAAGATGCTCCAGATCAACACCGACCCCCATTTCTTTACCCAGGTGTTTGCTGACCTGAAGAACGAGAGCAAGAAAGAAGAGGAGAAGACCAAACTCCTCATAGGCCTTGACCGATAAGAGGAAGCTGGAAGGGGGGTGTGGGTGGTTGGATAGAAAGATTGATGGAGTTAATAGGTTGGAGAGGGTAGGACTAACATAATGCATTGTAGCGCTACCTTGGAGCAGTACTGTTGTCTGGCGTCTCTACTGGTTTATGATTAACTAAATTTCCTGTTTGTACCCCAGAACAAAGAGCCTCTGGGAACGAACCTGGTGTTTAAATGATTTTAGTCGGGCAATGAGCCACCTAAACACCGACAGGCTTTCAGACAAATCGGCAGTGTCTTGTCTGAAGGCAGCAATTGGCCCACAGAGCCATTTCACCAAAACAAAGCCGATAAAATCAGGGTTGTTGTGGTGCTGGCCACATTGTGACTTGATTGGATCTGACAGGTTACTTATTGGTATTCAGTGTCCGGGTTGCTTGGCTCAGGATGTGACAATAACAAGCTTTAAGACCGAGATATGATCTTTAGTATTTCAAGAACAATGTAACTGACAACACAGATAGGGAAAGCCATATTTTATCAAATGCCTGGCCAGCACGGTTCATGATATGACATTAACAGGAAGTGAGAAAGAGATATCTATCGGTTTTATCTTCTGGCTCTGGCCCACAGACACACATCTGTCTGACCTGTACCTTGTTTCAGTGAGATAAGAAGGTCAATCTATTGAAGTATTTTTCTGTCTTTTGATAATAATAATAAATGAAAAAAAGATTGGGTTTAGAAACGCCAGACAACACATTTACGTAAATAAGGGTGAATATTATTATAAATATAAAGATACAGGATATTGATATTGTGTGATAGCATCCAGGCATTTTCGCTATAGAGAAATGTCAGGGTAATGAAAAACAAGAACCACGCTGCATGAGGTCACCTCATATGTCCTTGCACATGACCACCTGCTTATTGCCAACTCCATTTTACCTTATTCCTATTGTCCTGCCCGAGCTTATTGCACTCACCAACATTGGCTGAGAGGTCCACTGTTGAGACTTACAGCGCATTAATCAATACCATAACATGGATGAGCCAGAATCAACCACAACACAACCAGTAGGACCGTGAAATTTTCGTCCCAGTTACTGTAGTGGATTAGCTGATCCGCATCTTACATAAAGTACTGTACTTTTAAGGGAATATTTGGGTTTATCCAGCCAAATCTGCTATGAATTGGGAAATCAGTTATTTATTTTAGTATGAAATGCTAATCCTTTGGGCACAGATTAATAATCATGAAACAAGCCCTACTGTGAGCTGTTTACATCCACAAAAAACATGGGAAAATGCAATACTGACCCCTCTAGGGCATATTTTACTCAAGGAATTATTTCATTCCTTCCTGCTCCCCTGCACTTTGTCCTGCAGTCCATATTGGTGCTGTCCTGAATGACCACAGGAAAGTGTTTAATTGAAAGAAAGAAAGAAAGAAAGAAAGAAAGAATGAAAGAAAGAAAGAAAGAAAGTAAGAAAGTAAGAAAGAAAGAAAATAAGAAAGAAAGAAAGAAAGAAAAAAGAGAAAGAAAGAAAGATTCCTGTTTTAAAACACTGCACTCATGTTGTGTGCTTCATACTGTATGAATGATTGGTGGAGCCGGCTCGTGGAGGACATGTTCAGAGTTGGATCATGTGATCTGTCTCAACCAATGGCTACAAACACCAGAATGAAAGAGAATGTGATATTCCAGGCGTGTGAGGGCGGGGGCAGATGCTACAAGTGCAGATGTGACTTTTCTTCCACAACAACTCTTTGATGTTGCTGTCGCCACTCGAAGGCTCGAGGGACTGCTGTTTAAAGTGTCAACCACCGTCCTCTCTAATTTTACCCCCCACTGATTACTCTCCACATCAACCCGGACAAATTAAAACACCACAGATTCTCCATCCACTCCAGTCCGGTCTGAACCGGTCCTGTCCTGCCTCTCTGGTGCGGTCCAGTCCAGTCATCCCATATGTAGAGACTCTCTGGTCCGCTGACCTGACGGCTTACTTATTCACTGACTTATTTGATATGCATGTGTGCTTCTATAGGTTTCCTAGCATGCTGCTTTGTGTTGGGCACACCGCACCACATGTTATAGAAGAGACTGAGCATTCGCCATGCTGAACTGCTGAAAGCTAGACTCAGTGATGTGACATCCACTCAGCAAAAGGACTCTTTAATGAAGGACATGTGTGAAGGCCAGATGTATCCATACCTCTTCTGTGTAAACATTGAACATAAAAGGCAAGTTCAACTATTGGTCCTTAATCAAGTTTGCCACTATTCTTGATTCCATGGTGCTTAGGGGTCTAAAGACCTCTAAATGACTAAATAGTTCTCCCTCAGATCTAAGTTACAGCTTAGATGGGTTTCAAAAAACTCCAAAATCCCTGCGAGACTTTGGGTCAATTGGAGAGAATATTAAAGGGGTATTCCAACAATTTATCAGTGCACTTCCATAAGGTTGGCAGGCTCAGACAGATCAAAAACAGAATGGTCAAAATCAAAGCATTTCCCATAATGCAGCTGGATAGCATCTGTCATTAGACACCCCCCACCTCCTAGATGCTCTCTTCTTTCAAACCACACTCCTCCAGTTTGTAATGCAGCATTTTTGTTACATATAACCCCAATGACATCATCAGGGTTATTGTTTCTAGCTTTCAAAAGCTTCTCCAGAGCGACAGAAGACATTATACTCTTGCTATCACAGATCGGGTAATACTCCTCATTCACCACAAACTGACCTACAGGTGTAACATTGGTGGAATGCCTCTTTAAGTACAGTTGTAAGGAGTTAACTGAGGCAGGAAATTGAGATACAGATGCTCCACATATTCCCTCCTTGCTTTGATGATGTCACATCACCAAGTCTAACTGTAGCCAAACAGACTGTCTTCAATTTTAGAAAAGCTCCGCCTTCTCAAACAGGGCAGAGATCTTGTGCCATATCATTGTAAAGTTATTTCATATAAAAAAACAAAAAAAACAACAAAACACAGAGAAACATGAGCCAACTCAAAGTCTCTGACTGTGGAACAAGAAAGACTTTAAAGGAATTTCATGAATAAGCTTTTTCACAGTGTTGCTATATCAGGTATCAGACATATAGAGCAGAAAAGAGGGACTTTGCTTAAGAGTGATTTTAATACACAGGGAAGTTTTATGTGCCACTTGTAGGCCCAAATTGGAGTCATCAAAAGCTAGAGAACCAAGCATTCTCTTCTTGAATTTACAGTTTTTGAAAACATGTTTGGATTTCACTCTGATATGATTTAAAAAGAATCAAAATCTCCAAATGTCAAAATAATATGGGGAATGGGATTTTAAAAATTTAACAAACAAACTTAACAAAACAGAATGCCATGCCTGTTTCCAGACTGGGTGTCTCCACAATACAGGTGATTTAACTCTGGTGTTGTTTTGTGTTCATATGATAACCAACTGGGCTGCAGGAAGTGCCATGCTGTAAAAAAAAGAAAAGAAAAAAAAGGAAAATGTAGCCTTGATCCAGAGTCAGACCTCATGAGACAAATATGCACATGAAGAATGAATCCATGGCAAACAAGCTTGTTTACATGTCCCCCCTCCTTAGCTGTTTCTGATGGGTTGAACAGTAGACATGGCATTCCCAAGACGACTGTTGAATAATCTTTGTTTTCTTAATTTGTTGTACTTAAAGAGCCAACCTGTATGTTTGGTGGGATCTATATCACTACAAGCTGCTAACGAATTCTCATTTCCATGACAAGACATTTGGTGAACTGAGATAAGTTACAGTAGCCGTGTTTCTACCAATGTGTTTTTCTGCACATTTTGAAGTGTTGCATTAGAAAAGGTTGATGGCCAACTACTATTAACTGACAAAGATTAATAACATGTTTCCCAACTGGACAAAATTCCTGAAGCCCTTTCTTCATTTTTCTCTTATAGATGGTCAAGGCGACTATTTTGGTTTCTTCATCTTTGAGGTTTTTCAGTGGTTGGTAAACAACTTATGCTTGCGGTTCGCAAACTCTGCTCCTGCTACTCTGTTTATTGCGGCCACGAGTAGTCTATACCGCCACCTTTGTGACACAGGCTAGTGAAGTGGCTCCAAACCAGTTGATGGAAACATGCGTAATTCACATTTTCTTTTTTTCTTTTTTAAAATTTTTGCAACATTTCAAAAGTTTGCTTCAAATTTGCTTGACAATTATATGGAAACATGGCTACTGATAAACCTAAATTTATGGGAACTAAATTCAAGAACTGTTACTTGTTGATTCCATGGTGCAAATCTCAAGATTTAATTGAACATTTGCTAATCCAAACCACCTTTAGTTACCGCCGTTAGGCTTTTTGTTTTCGCACCAAACATTATGCTGTTTACACTGGTCATGATGGCAGATTTGCAATCAAATTAATTGTAATATTTGAAACAGTGGGTCCTTGATCAGCTTCTCTTTTCTAGCCAGGAGCTATCGACGTTGCCGGTTGAAATGACAGCTGTTGCTAGGAGATTTTACCAGCTCTACTTAAGCTAATGGTAGCTCAGTGAGTTGGTTGAAAATGCTGTCTCCTGCTGACATTTTATTGCTTATCTTACTTGTTTTAAAATTATGTGAAAGGGCTCTTAAATATGCACTTGATGGCTACATACATGATATCCTACTAAAAGATTGAAGCTAAAGCTGTGTGTCCCAGCTAAAAAGTTAGCATTCTCACCAGCCGAAAATATGAAAATAGAGAAACAGTATTGTTCTTATATTGTAGTGTAAAGCTACTTAGTCCTAACATTGTAATTATGATTAAGAAAAATGTGAGGTCAGATTGTTTTTTTCATTTCACCATTAACGTTAACCTCCCCAAATTCAACAAGTGGGTGGGCAGAGCTGTGCACATTAGCCTAAACTGTGATAGCATCAAGATTCATCTTCCACACAGTGGCGAAACACTACACAGTTGATGCGAGTTGTTAAGGGGGCTTTTTTTAATGTAACACGTAACCCCACACATTAATGTATGTGCTCCTTGCCCCTGGAAGTAATGCACAGTTACTACCATAGGTAGTAAGCCAGTCAGCCACATGTGCTAATGATTGCAGTTTACGTTAGAGCAGATAAACACACTGTTTAATCCAGTTCTTACACTTTTGCTGTCGTCTTTCAAGGTTTTAGAAAAACAAAGAAGATGTCACTTGAAATGCCATGTATTCTTACTTCTTACTACAGCCTCAACATGTGGAGAAATATTTGGTTTAACAGGCCCTTCCATGCGTAGCTTTGGTTGCTAATCCATGACTGAATTGTCACAGCACGGGGGAGGGGTTTAGAGAAAAGTCAATTGTACCGTTCCTCTTAAATTCAAATCTGATGCCCTATTTTTGAGAAAACACACCCCCACACACTCAGTATTATAGTATTATACATTAGTCATTCAGTATCATGTAGCTATGTCAGATGACAGCTTTTGACAGAAGGGAGGAGTTATGGTGTATTTCTCTGTAAAACAAAAAAAAAAACGATGAGCAAATGTCCCTCAACATTTTTCACAATTTTTTGCTTCCACCTGCTTCAGTCCTTCCAGCTGTGCAGGGACGGTAAAAAAAAGAGACAAGGAAGCAAGAAAAGGAAAGATGTCCTCTGAATGAACCTTTTATCTAGAATTAGAGAGAGAAGTATTGGTTGACTACACCCCTCCTATACATCCTCTCATCATTGATCAACTCATAACTATGTGCCATATTTTATCTTGCAACACGTACAAGACAAAAACTATCGTGTAACATATGAAGCTTATGATAATGATGATGAAGTTATTACAGTTTTTCTTCCTTTTCATTTGTGAATCATATTGTGTAAACAAGAATCTTTGTTGAACAAAAGTCAAGGCTACTAGTGTTACTAGAGTGCTGATGCTGCAGTCTGTTATTATGTGGATGTATGAATATGTATGTGAGAAATAAGAATAATTTGATCAACTGTTACAGGTACTTTATATAAAAACCTTTACAAGCATGGTCATCTTTGTTTATTTTCAGATAAATGTTATGACCCTTTGAATACAGTTCTTAGTCTGACCACAACAAGGCAGCAGTGTATTGTTGAAGTCATCCACAGTAGCTGCAGCTGAGGCCGCTGAAGACAAGATTTGGTTCAGGGAAGAAATGTTATTTGGGGAGTTTTGAGGGCTTCGATCCAGGAGGAAGCCTCATAATAGGCAATGCAATTATTGCGTGCTGACTCAAGCACTTAAGTGGGTGTAGTGTTGACAGATGTTGTTATGATGCACCAAGAGAGCATTCGAGGATGGATTTAATTCTGGCTGGGTTGCTGAAATTTTAATACCAGGTGCAGCAGGGAGATGACAGCCTGTGAGAGCTTTAGGAAAAACTAACACCAAACTTACTGTTTAGATATTCTAACATGATTTGGACAAAATATGAGCTGCAACTGACCTGTTTTGGGTTACCACGGTCCTAACACACAGTAAATATCTAAAATCTTTAAAAAAAAAACCCAAAAAAACCCCAAAAAGAAATAAGGCAACTTGCTGCAAAGAGTTTAGTCAAGTTTCAGGCCACCTAGTTGTGTCAGTTTAATAGAAATATTCAATGCATGTACAAACAAATGTAAACAAAACTGACTATACTGGATCATTTAGAGAGGGGGCGGCATTTTGTGCCTTTATTGGATAGTGACAGAGGAGAGATGGAAAATCACAGATCATGGTCAATGACTTAAATGCCTCATACTGAATCATCACTGTCACCAACTGAGTCAGTAGCTTTTAGACACAGAGCTCCACTGAACTGAATGTAACAACAGTAGCAACAGACTGAATGCGCTGAACTGAAGACAGAACCAGCACTGTGATACATTCACTTACTGTTGGATGTGCTGAAGTGCATTTAAATGGAGATGTGATTGCTTATCTTAGCTTGGGAAAAAAGTGACTAATCTGTACAGTTAGTGACTGCATAACAACAATTGAACAAAACGATTTTAATCAGCAATGTAATTCATAATTTCCACCAGGATAGTTAAAGCATTCCATTGTGTTTAATCAAACGTATACAGTATGTTAGTGAATCAAACTGACAGTGGCTAATCCTGTCAACTCATATTTTTGCTTAGCTAACAATAAAGTTTGAAAGTAGAAAAACTTAAGGGTTAGGGTTAGAGGCAATTTGTGTAAAAAGAATACATTTACTGTAAATATCTGACAGAAACAACTTCACTGAAAGGCAGAGTGATTAAGAGTGGTTTTGTCAGGCTGTTGCTGTCCATGGTGCTGAAAAAGGATGCATGAGCACTTGTCCAGGCTTTTGTTTTACTTCAGAAATATAGCTAATACTAATTGAATAGCTGCTATCATCATATTAGCCTACTGTATTACTAACAAACATTACCATTTTAAACATTATTTTAATTTTGTATTTCTTTCTATAATATACTGCTGAAGTGGTGAGATGAGGATCAGTGATGGGCTGGACAGCTATTCTCACAGATACTATTTGGATATGTAATTCCATTCATTGAAACGGCCTCAAAAACAGACACTGTAAATAGACTGACTACAATAAAGAGAGTGTAGTATTGTGACAGTATTAGTACATTAATATGTTTTATCATCTGTTTACTGTGTTGCTGTCCATGGTGCTGAATTTGCTTTATGGTCAGCCAGTGGGAGGTGTTGTAATTAAATTTCTCTCATTGTGTCCAGCTGTCTATTGATATATTTCTCCTGTTTCAGCAGGATTCTGTCACTGCGCTGCAACAGTACAGCCCCCCCTCAAATGAAGAGACGTGGTGCAGGGGGTGGGGGGGTGGGGGGGTTGGCGCTGTCCATGGTACTGAAACGGCGGAACTGAGGTCTAAGAGGTTGTATTTACCAAAAATAAAAAACGTTTTATCTAATCTTGGCACGGAAATAACAAGTGAAGGTGATACGTGTGGATACGCAGTAGGAATTTTACAGATAAATCAAAATCCATGCTTTCAGTTATTAAGATCAAGTGAGTTCAGATTTATGAATATAATCAGTCTCAGCGGGATTCACACATTAATTAATTAAACAAGAGTAGTTCAGTGAAATGTGTGCAGTCTTCACGTGCCAGGTTTATCAATGTGCATCTTTAACTGTCGACGTCATGTAAAATGTATTTCGCCCACTTTTGCCAACCTGCCACGTGAGAGAGGAGTAACCATCCTCAGCCGCACGCGAGGTAATGGTGAAATCCTCGTCGCCACGCTTCCGCTTGAAGCAGCCAATCAGAGTGGTGCGCTGCATCTTATATATCCATCTGCTGCCGTGCTTTTCTACTCACTGTCCCCGCTGTCCTATGCATCATTGGCCCGACTAGCACCTCTGATCTAGGCCTACTGCAACCGCGAAGATGGCGGCCCGGGTAAGATACATATGTCTGCTTTCTTTATTTTCCAAAGAAAAACAAAAACAAATCAAACACAATGTGTTTCTGTCGGGTAGATGAGGAAAAACCCAGGGCGCAAAATGTCGGGCGAGCCTTCAAATCTCCAGCAGTCTTAGTAGCTTTTGCGCCTGAATGTCACCGTGACTAAAGAATTTGGTGTTCATTTCACATGATGTTGCAGCTCTACAACACTGGCATGTGTCAGGAAGGATCATTTCCGCTAAGATTGCATAATAGCTCGAGCGTCCGACCCCTCAGCCTGCGAACCGCTGCCTTCGCTGGGAGGATCGCCGCTTAATCCTGGGCTCTGCTTGCCCTTGAGCCGACACGGCCAGTGAAAAGCTTTTATGAGCGATGCATCTGCAAGAACAGGGTGGACGATTTAGTGTGGTAAAGCTCAGAGTGGTCAGTACAGCGCGGCACAACATGTACGAACCGAGCACATAAGCATGCAATTGATGATCCCAGTCAAAACAGTGAGGTCCAGTGCTGCTGCTTCTGCGGCTCTTTTTTGCGGTGGTATACGCGCTGGTTGCGGTGGTGAGCAGCAGAGCAGTGCATGGCTGACTGGTGGGTTGTGTGCATATTCATTTCAGTGGGTGGCTGTGTAGCCTACAACCTGTCGACGTACAGGGAGGATGATGTCAGGTAACCAGTGTCAACCTGCAATCACTCTCGTCTCCAGCCCTACTGCAGAGGAACGCAGAAGCTGTGTCATTACCAGGCAGGACAGAGCTCAGGTCCCTTGTTTGGTATAAAAGCCTGAAATGATCAGACAGGACCTCTGATGTTATTGCAGGAAATATCTAGTTTAGGTGGCAAAACCAGAGCCGTATCTGTTGCAAGACAGGATTTATCAAATATAAATTTTGTTTGTTTATTTATTTGTTTAGTATATTTATTTGTTTTTTTGTTGTTTGTTTGTTTTCCAGCATCTCAAAACCAGCATCCAATGATTTAAAATGAATCATATATGTAATGAATTAGGGAAGGGCAACCAAGCATTTGCATTTGGTGCAGTAAATGTAGTAAACTGATCACCTATAGAGATCCTTCCATCATGTTTCCTGCATAAAAAAAACATTTTGATCTTGATTGAAAACAGGCTGTTGAGTAAAGGTTTTGCCTTATGACTGTTTAAAGAAGATATTCAACATTTTGGGAAATATGGTCACTTTTTGGGAAAGACTTAGATGTTCAGATTAATTGGCAGTCTCATTTCTGTATACTTTAAATATGAGGCTACTGTCACAGCTAGTTAGCTAAAGAGACTGGAAACTAGGGGAAACAGCTAGCCTGGCTCTGTCCAGAGGTAATAAAATCTGCATACCAGCACCTCAAAAGTTCACTACTTAACATGTTATATGTCATTTGAAGTGCTAATGGCACTCAGTAGAGCACATGCCTCTGCCAAGACAGATCTATCTGAACAAACTCATGGATCTCATCTCATAGATCTCAACACCGTAAATTATCTTTGTCTTATTTTTTGCATTATTTACTGAGAAATTGACTAAAGTGTCATCAGTGCCATTTCACAATGTTCCTGCATCCACATCTTTGACAAAATCAGCACCTAAAATTGAATTGGTTCTTCCCTCGCCCACCCTCACTCCTCCACCAAGTTTAGTCCAAATTGGTTCAGTGCTTTTTGCGTAATCCTACTGACAAACAAACAAACAAACAAACATAAACAGGAGAAACATAACCTCCTTGGTGGAGGTAACAATCTTTGTCTAACTGGTGTTATGTGTCAGACTATTTCTTGGTTGAAAGCCGTAACTTCCTGTAGTCTCTGTTGGTTGCCTGGCAACTGTTTAGAGGAAAGAAATGGGGTCTGGCACATAAGCCCTCATAAAATGGCAAATTGTTGTTTTTACACTTATGTTTTCGGTCTTTATGCTAAGCTAAGCTAACTAGCATGTTAGGCGTAGCCTTGTAGTTACTGTAAAGACATGAGAGAGGTATCAATCTGAACATCTAATCTAACAGAAAGCAAATAAGTGAAACAATTCCTTTAAAATGAAGCAGTGCGACCCTTCTTCATAGAACTCATTTCAAAGAACAGTTAGTTGTTATCTCCGCCCAAGAGTGATGTTCAGATTACATTTGAACATTTTTTAAGTCTGTGATGATGAAACCATGAAGTATTTCACATGAAAAAATATAAAATAAAAATGTGAAAAAAGTATACCATTTTGTTTAGCACAACTATGATTTTTCTTCTTTCTTATGCTGTTAATCATCCCAGGACCCTTTAGATTGATCTTATGATGCCTGGAAGGGTCCAGACCACCAGGTTGTGAACCCGCATCCTGTCATTTTATTCTTAAAATGATGTCGCATCATAAAACATCACTTTTGTGACAGCAGGGGGCTGAATGTAGCATCTAAAATCAGTGCTGTATTAACATCTTGTCTATGTCTCATAATTTGCAGGCAGGCTTATTTATGTGGTTTTATTTATTCGAGACTCTTGGTGCCATCATAAAATGAGTGCAGGCAGCATGCACAGTCATGCTAATAGCTGTAGCATTACACAGCAAGACTGTCTCACTGTGCTCATGTTATAGAGGTAACACAAATCATGTGCATTTATGTATAAGGGCACCTTTGTACTTGTACGTTCAATATATTCTTGCAAGTGACTCATTCATAACCTCTCAGAGCAGATGTGCAGATCTCGATCAGCTCATTCACTACTTTCACCATTCAGTTTGTACATGCAAACGAGATATGAAGAGGAGCACAATGGCACCCACGGGTTAATACATGCCATTAGGTTGGTGCTTTTATCCAAAGATAGCTGCTTGGGTTTCGATTTTTATCAGACTTGTCCCAGTGGAAATCTGACTCTGACATTACACCTCTTGTAGCAGTGTAATTACCATGCCAGCTGCTTTTCTCTAATAGCACTAACAGTGTTTTTACTGTTACAGTTCTGTTGAAAAAACAAGCAAAATATGTATTGAGGTGGAGGGAGCCAGTGCACTGAGTTCATTTTTACTGCAGGACCCAGACGTTCCACAACAGCAGCATTTTGTTAACAGTCTAACAGTCTAACAGCAGTAACAGCTGCTGTGTCTTAACAAACTGACCACTGGCTGATTTGTTGAACACAGCACCCAAGGGGGCACGGTCAATACTGCATTGAATGCCTGTGCATTCTCATTTGTCAGGTTTTACATAAGGAACTGGATTTACTTCCTTAAGTAATTAAAAAAAAGAAAACCCTCAATGCTTTTATATTAATAGGAAACCTTAAGGGCAGCTACAAGGTTGCACAAGCTGTATAATGTGAACAGAGAAGAATAAGTCAATGCTTTCAAAAGTAATAAATAATATATGCTTTACTGAGGCTGAGACACTGAATATGATTATTCCCCACTTTGCTTGACACATGTGAATGCCATATACCTTTAAAGCTATGAACTGAAGTAATATTACCTGACAGCCCTTAGTTACTGTTGCTACACCTATGAGGTCTTCCTCTCTCACACGGCACATGTGGTAGACTTGCCATCAAAATTCTTAGTGATTTTTGAAACAATGGGCCCTCTCCTTCACCAGCCTTGTTTATTGGTCACTCATAAGAAGGCTCATACAGATGTAATCAATATGATACAGTATTAGAGTGACAGAAATGATGCACCTGTCCTTCATTTAGATATGAAATGAATGGATCTCAAACTGTCCGCCATATTGACATAAGCTCAGACTGGATTTCTGCATCATGGAACAGAGAAGATTTTACGAATGCATCACACTTCCCTTTGTGAGCATAGATCTTTGTGTGTGTGTGTGTGTGTGTGTGTGTGTGTGTGTGTGTGTGTATGTGCATGGAAAGAGTAGATGCAGTGGTACATTCCTCTGTTTGGTCATCCAGCATGAGTCAAAAGTGTCCATCAGCGTGTTGTTTTACTCCCCCCACGGGCCCAGCAGTCAACACACACACACATGCACACACACACACACACACACACACACACACACACACACACACATATACACAGTCATATACCCTTCACCCTCAGCAGACCATGTACTGTTGCTGGGCATACTGCAGCTTGTCAGAGAGAGTCAAGACAAAACAAACATTTCCACAGGCTGACACCAAGACAGACTCAACATCAGTCTCAAAAGAGAAACTCCTGTGCTAAGAAATGTAACCTGACAGTAATGATAACAATTTAATAATGTATTGATAATGGTTGGTTAATATGATGATGACTACAGGGTGGCAGGAAAGTGTAGTTTGAGTTTTGAGTCAGCCATTGTAGCCTTTTCAGGAAAACAACATCGAACAAAAAACACATTGTCAAAAACCAAGACTTCAGGACGAGGGAACCAGAAGTGCTAAAATGCTAACTAATTTCCAGGTATTAGGACTTACTCCTGCAGCACTCGATCCAAAACTGCGAATTGTTGACCTGAAGGCCTCCTGATCCTGATCATAAGTGAATGAAAAAAATTGATTATTTGAAAGATTTGCATTTGAATGTTTGGGTTAATCAAGCCATAGTTCCTCTAATGACCACAAGGCTGGCTTAAAAAGTTAGTCAGTCACCATAGACTCCCATGGTAAAATGTCAAACTTTACAGCAGAGATAAACATGTTTCCAAGTGAACAGACACCATCTTTGATTCCGGTATCCAGCTCTTATGTTTGTGCTTTGAATCGGTCTAATGTTCAGCTCCACCCATGGAAATTTCACTTCACTAATGAGATTCAGATCAATGTGTGTAATGACAGAGTTGGAGGAAGTGCTGCAGTATTTCTAGTTACAATTTTGTTGCAAGTATGACAAATACCATATTGAGCACCAACAACAGCTGAAAGCAACTAGCTGACCTTTATGCCTTCTCTTCTGCAGGTAATTAGCTGGAGGAGATAATTAGGTGGGTCAAAGACCATATCAAGTAATAAATACTTAAATAAAACCGATCATAATGGAACCCCTGGTCTCCATTAGGAA